TAAACAGTCTAGTTTCATTCTTTTATATGTGGCTTTCCAATTTTCCCAGCACCATTTATTGAAGAGGCTTTCTTTTTCTTTCATTATATGTTTTTGGCTCCTTCATCAAAATATTATTTGCTCACGTATATGTGGGTTTATTTCTGGGCTATCGCTTCTGCTCCATTGGTCTGTTTGCTGTTTTCTCTGCCAATATCATCCTGTTTTGGTTATTGTCACTGACATTTTCAATTTAGTTGTTTGGTTGCAAGAGAACATTGTCATTATTGCAAAAAGATTTAGTAAAATTTGTTGAGCAGTTATTTTAATGTTTTTTTAATTTACCCATCTTCTGAGATATCAAGTGTTCTCTCAAAATAAAAAATAAAAGAAACTGGATTTGATATATCTACTCTTTAGCCAGTGACTATACAAAAAAATGTAAATAAAAAGGGAAGGAATGAAATATAAAAATGAGCCTGCAATATCAGTAGCTATATCTCTGCATTGATAAGGCAATGAATCATGAGTATTGATGCTTAGGCAAGGACCCAATCCACTATAAAACAATTCTGGAAGTGACTGTAGGCAAAGAAATAAGGGCCTCTTTCTAAAATCTAATGTATTTAAGCGTCTTCCAAATAACAAGTCTACTAAACTCATGAGTCATAAAATAATATTACACCCATAAAATGGTTCCAAAAGACATAGGTAAAAGTCTTAAAAGTTCAACAGTGTGCAATGTATAGGGCTTCATTTTTATTGTCTTGAATTTATTGTAGTGTTTACAGGGCAGCTGATTTTCCCTTGATTTAGTTGAGTACAATACAAGTGGGGATTTTTTCCTACTAAGATATGTATTAGCCAGCTTTGATTCTGATAATTTGTCTCAAAATATACTGCTACTGAGGTAAACGGACTAGGGGAAAATTGCTAACATAATTTTCTTGGTCTGTCGAGTCAACATCAGACTAAGAAAATTGAATCAGCCCTCCTCGGCAGAAAGTACAATGTTATTGAAATGACATCATCCTGAAAATGTTTTATGGCTTAAAAGAAATCATCAGTTCCTTTATTCTTAGGCCCTGTGCTGGCAGTTTAGATCAGCTACCATTTTAAATATCTAATGTTTTAAAATAAAGATACAGTGATTTCTCTAAACGGTCATAGATTTAAAACTTATAGTCAGAAAAAAGTATTCTTTATATTTGTTCTATGTATACAGAAGGTGTTAGATGAACCTCCAGCATATTAAATATATTGCCCCCTTAGCAAAGGCCTTAATATAGTTATTTATTTTTTTAAAAAAATATTTTTGTTGATATCAGAGTGGAAGAGAGAGGGGGAGAGAGAGAGAAACATCAATAATGAGAGTGAATCATCCATCAGTTGCCTAATGCACGCCCCCTACTGGGGATCAAGCCTGCAACCTAGGCATGTGGCCCTGACAGGAATCTAATCCAGGACCCTTCAGTCCACAGGCTGACACTCTATCTACTGAGCCAAGCCAGCTAAGGCTATAATTATTTCTTTGTATTAGATTATTGATCTTACATTTTGTAGTATATTTTTAATATTTGGTCCTGTTTCTATACCAAAAAAAATTACAGTGGCTTAAACAGGGTAGCTTATTTTTATCCTGCATAAAAGAAATCCAGATGTAGGTAGTCCAGGGGTAGTGTAGTGTTACTTCCTCTTCAGTGACACAGGCTCTGACATTATGCTCCACTAGTGATATTGTTTGCCTGCATCCTCAAGGTTGCTTCATGGTCTAAGATGACCACTAAAGCTCCAGCCACCACATAAAGATTCCAGGTCAGCAGAGAGAGGAAGTAGGAGAGAACAAAACTGCAGGGGTCCCTTTAAGCAGTCAGCTCAAGAATCTCACAAAACCCTTCTGCTCAAATCACAGTGGGCTGAATATCTTCACAGGCCACATCCATCTACAAAGGAGGCTGAGAAAAAAAGTCTTTACTACAGGAAAAGTGACAAGTGGAAACTTGGGTTTCTATTATTAAGAAAAGAAGAGAACATGGATGTTTAGAAGGCAATCCAGCCATTTCTACCACAGCAGCTGTATCTCAGAGTGGACAAACTGGAGAATGATATCAGGTCCTCTGGTGATAACCTACCCAGAGTAATTCCCATAGAGCTTGTACATGCCTCCTCATTTTTATTTGATTGATATTTATGCAGCTCATTAATACAAAGCCCTTGTCAAGCTGCATTTTTGTGTGGACATGCATATTTTAGGTGCAGAAAAGACTGTCATCTCTGAAGGTGACTTTCTTTATCTGATCAGCATGTGGGTCTTTCTGTCTCCAAGACCATGAGAAATGTGTGCACATCTTCGTAAAGATGCACCTATCAACAAATCAAAACAGACTCCCCCAAAATAAAATAAAAATAGTATCTAATCTGTTTTGACTGATATATTTCAGTAGCTGATACAGAAATTTACAAATGTGCTAGGTTTACCTGAAAGTGGCATAGTTATCTTAAAATATATGCCAACTTCCCTAAAGTAAGAACAATTTTGGTTATCTCATTGAAGGAACCTTAAAAACCATATTAGACACTGGGATAGAACAAGCCTACTGTATTGTAAAGTACCTCATTATAATATTAGTAAGATGATGATTCTGGAGGACAGATAGGCCTCTGAATGTCTCCTGTTCTTCCTCAGCCCCTTTATGGTACAAACAAATCAAGACAGCTCTTTCTGTGTGGTGGAAAAGTCTGTGTTAGGGAAGAATCCAATTCTCTATACAGTGTGTCTGCATGACTGGCTCGCAATCTATAATAATAAAAGCAAATATGCTAATTAGACCGGACAGCCGAACAACCTTCTGGACAGCCTTCTAGATGTCCTTCTGGATTAAGCCAGGGCTGCAAGGGCCGAGGCAAGCCGCTACAGCTGCGGGGGCTGATTCCCTTGCACAAATTTCGTGTATCGGGCCTCTAGTCTACCTAATAATAGACAAACATGGTAATTGACCATACCTTTGCTATGCCTCCCATTGGCTAATCAGCATGATATGCAAATTAACTGCCAACATTGGCAGTTAATTTGTTTACTAGGTTCCAAGCTGTAGAGCTAAGTCTGACAGCCTGGGGGCCAAACCAGCGTGGCCTCACACCCTGGCGCCAGGCAGAGCACCGAGGCCTCACGGCCCCTGGATCGGTGGAGCAGCGAGGCCTCACAATCCTGGGATTGGTGGAACAGTGAGGCCTCACGGCCCTGGGATCAGCGGAGCAGCAAGGCCTCATGGCCCCGGCTCCAGGCAGAGCAGCGAGGCCACATGGCCTCGGGGCTGGCGGAGCAGAGAGGCATCACGGCCCCAGGGCTGGCGGAGCAGCAAGGCCACATGGCCCCAGTGCCAGGCAGAGCAGCAAGGCCACCGGGACCCGGTGCCAGGCAGAGCATAGAGGCCTCATGATCCCAGGGCCTGCCAAGCAGCAAAGCCTGATGACTCCAGGGCAGCTCCGGCTGGAGCCCAGCCAGAGTGAAGATCTGAGTCCTGGGTGTGGGAGGAAAACTGGTGCCAGCAGCCAAGGGAAAGGAAGGCCTATCGCTTGAATCTCTCCATGCAACAGACCTCTAGTAATATTACAAATGAGGTAAAGTTCGCCTTTAATACTTTGCTTATTCTCTTTTTCTCCCTGCTCTCCCTCCTCAATCAGTTCAGGAAGCATTAGTTGAGTACCTATTATACATTAGGGGCGATGTTGGGGGCTGGGGCTACAGAAACATGGACTGTGCCCTCACCGAGTTTGCCACATACATTTCCTGTACCTCTCAGACACATGGCCACTACCTGCTGCCTCTGGTGTCTTGTGGCCAATGGGTGCTCTCGGTCCTGTGTCCTGACCTGCCCCTTACCTTCCCAGTCAAGCGTACCTTCCTGCAGCTGTGGCCCAGTCTGCTAGATAGCTCTTGCACTTAAATTTATATCTTTCAGTTCTTACCTTAAAGGATATTAGTAGCAATTTCAGGTATGTTAAAAGTGTGGGGTAGAAATGTTATTTTTTCTTTATAGTACATGGATCTCTGACCAAATATTATAGGTAAAAATTATCTGATTATATTATGTATGATTATAAGTAGTAACTATCAAAATGTTGCTATTTTAGATAATGTTTCAGTATCCCTAGATTAATTCATTTAATAGATATTTTACTAAAATGAGTATCCTATGCAGAGAAGACTCAATTGTTGGGGTGGGGGGGATAATCTATAAATAAATATTTAGAGGAAACACCCAGATCATACAAGCTATTAGATTCCTAAGTAAGGCCAACAACCACCCCCACAATATTTGGGAAGTATGTGAAAAGTTGTATGCATGTTTTTATTTATGCAGGCATTCAATAAATATTTATGCAAGGTGTACTCTGTCCCAAACTCTATTTTAGTGGCTAACAAAACAAATGAAGTCTCTGTCCTTATAAAATCCATGGTGTAGTGACAGTGGCAATAATAAATTAAACAAAACAAACCAACAAGAAAGATTATTCCATGCTGAGAAAATAATACGAAGTGAAATATGTGCTGCGAAAAAGAACAGGATGTCTTGGCCACAATGATCAAGGAGTGAACATCTCTATGAAGTGCACATTTAAGATGCGATTACAGTTTACAAAGAAGCCATGTATATGTGATACTTTCAACAATAAAGACAATAAATAAACAAACAAATAAATAAATAGACATGTCAGAACATCCCAAGGTGTGGCATTTCAGACTGGATTATCCAAAAAGGCCTGGCATTTGCAGGTTGATTTTGACACTACTGGGGTATCTGGCATGTAAATGTTAGTCATGCCAACTGTGAGCCAAAGTTCCATTTTCTAACCAGACATCCCATTTCCTACAAAAGGACTCTTAACTCAAGCCTAATGAAGCCCATAACATTGTTCTGGGTTTTTACTTTCGCGTATGGTGAAATGCTACCAGGTGCACAGTTGTTCAGTTGTGTGTGCTAACCATGCAACTCTCTCTCTCCCTCTTGTGTCACCAGGCCTCCGGAACCCGTTTACAGCACTGTGAACAAACTCTGTGATAAGCCTGCTTCTCCCAGGCACTATTCCCCTGTTGAGTGTGACAAAAGCTTCCTTCTATCAGCTCCCTACCCCCACTACCACCTAGGCCTGCTCCCTGACTCTGAGATGACCAGGTACTGCATGCGCTTCCTCACTTCATCTTCTCGAATTGCATGTGCTTCCACCAGGAAAGAATGGGCAGAGCCCACCTCTGCTCACTTCTCTTGCCCTGGACATCTTCCTCGAGGTGGAGAGATGTTCTGCTCCCTTGGCGCAATGGGGGAATTTAAGAACATTGCCTTGTTGTTTTTCCTGGTGTGTTCATAGAGCATTCAGACATGATCACATGATGCTCCAATGTTCTTTGTTCCCATGCATTTTTAATGAGGTATTAATTACATTTTTCTAAAAGAATTAACTTTGAAATTTAAGGAGCACTATTTCCCTCAATCCAAGGATAAAATAGAACATTTATTGAGTATATTTCTAGATACTATTTAGTAAACACTTACTGTGCTCCAGGTATAACATAGCCTAAGAAGTAGATGCTATTATCACCATTTAATATTTTAACTAAAGTATTAAATTAGTGCCATCACTTCACTGACTCCTTGAGGTATTAAACAACTTGTCCAAAACTACATAACAGTTCTATCTGGCCACAAAAAAAATATATTCTTTTAATTTTTCTGTTAATTCTCACCATTCTTTTTTTTTTCTGTTAATCCTTAGACAAGGATATATTCCCATTGATTTTTAAAGGGAGTAGAAAAGAGGGGGAGAGACACAGAGAGAGAGAAACATTGATGTGAGAGAGACACATCAATTGCTTGCCTTCTGCAGGTGCCCCGACCAGAGTCGGGAATCAAACCTGTAACTGAGGTACATGCTCTTGACCAGAATCAAACACGGGACCCTTAAGTCTGCAAACCAATATTCTAGCCACTGAGCCAAATTAGCCAGGGCAATAATATATTCTCACAGTATGTTATCAAGCTAGGCAATTGCATATGTTCTCTTATTTAGTTATTCCTGTTTTATATAAAAATAATAACAAAGTTTAAAGCAGTCAAGGCCTTGCCATCAGTATGATATTACTAATAAGTGTGGATTCCAGATTTGACCTTAGAATACTTTCTGTCTTTCCACAATTTTGTAAACATATTGTTCTAAGTCTAAAGGTTGGATGTAATTTGTGCATTAATATTCTAAAGGATATGTATGGTAAATAATAAAACTTCACTTTTACATAAGAACCAAAGCCAGAGAGAAAAGAGAGTCAGGAAGGGAAAGGGAGTGTAATGTTCCATAAAGTAGTCCCAATTCAGTTCCAATTGAGAGATCTCACTTGTGATGTTCCTAGATTTAAGGGGATGCCTACATAAGTATGTTTTCAGATGGAATATTTTCATATGTCTTCATAATAATGTTAGGGCTGAGAAAATATAGATTTTACAATGATTTGAAGTGATAATGAATATATCAAGAGGGTTTCAGAACATTATGTCTAATTTTTGGTATTTTCAAAGAATAAGTTTAGAAGTTAATTACTGACCTCCCTAAGGAGTTAAATAGCAAATTTTAAATGATAGCTAACATTTTTAGAAATAAATGAGAAGACATATTTTTGGCTATGTAATTAGATGAGGCATTTTCACTAATTTCCAAAAATTAAACCCTAATAATATTTAGGATGCTTTATAAATATTAATCATATCCTCCTATATTTTTAACAAATCATAAAGACTATTTTTTGTTACAGTGAACCATATAGTTTTGAACCTAAGAGCAAAGTCACCATAGCACTAGGGAAGAGAGAAGATACACACACCTACAACCACTTCCTAGTAATTATGCATCTATACTCAGCTACAGGAAGGCAGCTAACACTTTTTGAGCTCTTCCTCTGTGCCAGACATTTTAAGCACTTCTTATGAGTTATTCTTTTTAACCTCGACAATCACTATATGAGATGAGTGCTATCATTATAGGTTTTTAAAAACAAGAAAACTGAGGCTGGGGCAGTCGCCTGACATGCCCAAGGCCACCCACTGATAAGTGGCCCCACTGGGATGCAAACCCAGGTGACCATTAGCACCTGCTTTGGCACAGGCATGAGGGCAGAGATGTCCTTGCTTGCTGGAAAAATTCTCCACCCATTTCTTTTCTCTCCTTTATTTTTACCATGCCTTCTCATTTCCCTTCTTCTGGCTCAGTGTTAAGCAATCTTTTTTTTTTTTTTTTAACCTGTGCTCTTTTCCAATGAACATAAAAATTACATTCCTTGCATTCCACTGGGGATTTTGATGCATCCCTCCATAAAAACTCACCAAAGCCAATAAGCAGATGATACAGTCTACCTTTTGTGTAGACCCACCAGTTATGATTCTTTTTAGTTTACTTTCTATATTATAGAATCTATAATCTATATTATCAAGAACATAGGTTTTTTTCCCCAAATTAAAAAAAAATTACAGTATAATGTCAAGTACGCCATTTTTCAAATTGTATATCCTCTGCACTCCTGATATGCATCAGTCTCCAACCCCTACCCTCCATCATCCTTTTGGGAATTTTATTTTATATTTATTTAAATTGTCTTCTTTTTTGCCCTTTTCCTTTCCCCTTTCCCTATTTTATTCTTCACTTCTAGAATAAAAAAGGCCTTTCTCTCTCTCTCACACACACATGTTAGTGGTATTACCACCAGTACTCTGATACTAAAATTCTTTCACCCCATTTTCCTCTCCTTTCAAGCTTCCCCAACTCAATAAATGGCAAATACATTTATCCCATTGCCCAAGCCAAAAACTTGAGAATTATACCTAGACCTTGTTCTTGATCATATCCATCATTCAATCTATCTTCTAGTCCTATTGATTCTACCTACAAAATGTACCTTAAATCTATTTATTCTTCTCTAATTTCAGTTGCACTTTAATCCAAGCCTCCATCATCTCCCATCTACAATAGCTCTGCATTGGTCTCACCACTTCTATTATTGTCCCTCTGGTATATTCTCAGTGCAGACAGTGATCTGTAAAAATACAGATCAGAACTATTGCTCTCTTTGCATTAGTATAAATGCAAAGTCATTAACAGAGCATCCAAGCTGTGCATGATTTCAGCCCTGCCTGCCTCTTAAACATCTTCCCTTTGCTGACCACGTTACTCACATTCACAAAATGCATTCAATCTCTTCTTGCCGAGCGCTTCCCACATGCTCTTTCCTCAAACTGGAAAGCTCTTCTTACACTTTGCCTGGTTAACTTCTGGTCATCTTAGATCTAAGCTTAAATTGCATTTCCTTGGAGAAGATCCCTGAAAGAGGAAATTTGGTTCCCTATTGTATTCTTTCTCTTTTTTTCCCAGAAGGTTCAAGTAGTTTGATATTGTACATTTATTTATGTAAGCTCCATGAGTGGAATTGTGTCGAATTTGTACACTGCTATACCCTTAATGCTTAGCACAGTGCCTGGCACAGCAGAAGCTGAGAATTATTGAGTGACTAAGTAAACATGGAAATGAGGTCAACAGGAAGACTAGCCGACAGATACCTGTTCCAGGAACAGTTCATGGCCCTAGCTGTGCTTGACTCAGTTCTTGGCAGGTACATAAAACAACTCCATGAATGAATGAGTCCAAGCATGGGAACAAATAACAATGTACTTGAGCTCACTCTGTGTATTACACTTTCATCTTAGCTGATCTTGATGGTCAGTGTCCACATTATAGATTCATTAGGTAACTGTCACTCCTTCATGGAGACTGAGGAATTCCTTTCAGAGGCCCTTTACTTCCTCTCCAATGGAAAATACCTAACTTATAGAATCTCAGAGGTGGATGAGAATTTAGAATTAGATAAATAAGCCCTTATCGAACTCCAGTAATGATGAGGAACCCAATTCCTTTGTGGCTCCATGTCTTACTTCTACTCTTGGTGAAATGAAAGTAGTTGGGAATATTTTGCCCTGAAAAGAATATAATAAGAATGTATGTATTAATTTGTTCAACCAAGATTTATCAAGCTCTGACAAAGTGCAAAATACTATATTAGGAAAACGTTTATAAAGATGTGAACTGAAAACACCAACCAAAAAAAATGTTTAAAAATGACTAACTTTTAAAATGGAATATGTGGTAATACATATTTTCAGGGCATTTGAGAATTTCCCAGTCTATTTCAGAAGCATGTGCATACTGACACAGCAGTTACTGTCTCAGATTAGGATATGAGCTACCTCTGTGGAAGCTAGCATGTGAAGCCACTCACATACCAGCTTAATCCCTAATCAGCATTCAGAAGAATGGAGGACAGTCAGCAGAAGCTGGGAGAGTCAACCATCTGTTCTCTATGCATTTCAATGGGAATCCCCCCATTCTAAGCTCTTTGAGTTGATAGCAAACATCAGGGATGAATTAATTGTATATACAATTTACTTCTGTAACATCAACCAAAAGAAAAACAGTGAAATTATTAGTTTTCCTTCGGGAAGCACTTGAAATTACTTGGCAAAGTACCAGTTTTTAAGGCTGCAGATTAGTTTAGAATAATTGACTTTTCAGACCTTGCAAAAAAAAAGAAATGGGCAGAACCTGGAATCAAACTAACATTTGGAGCTCTGTGGAAAACAAATGGGATTGCTGTGGGGCTCCTGCTTATCCGGTGTGTCTTTATTTTTTATTTTATTTTATTTTTTTAGCTAGTTTTTGATGTACTAATTGGTTTTATACTTTGGGAGAATGGTAAATTACTTAGCTTTTGATATTCCTAGGGGTAGAAGAAGAATATTCCGATCTGTTTTCTCAATATGTATGGCATATTTTCATTCATCCTTTTAGAGGGCTGGTCCTAATTATTGTTATTTTGTAGTTGATATTCAGAGGCAAGGTAAACCAGTGAAAGCTAATTAAAATATGTTGGCAGCCCTAGCCAGTTTGGTTCAGTGGATAGAGAGTTGGCATGTGGACTGAAGGGTCCCAGGTTCAATTCTGGTTAAAGGCACATGCCCGGGTTGCACCCCCATTAGGGGATGTGCAGGAGGCAGCCGATCAATGATTCTCTTCCATCATTGATGTTTCTATCTCTCTCTCCCTCTCCCTTCCTCTCTGAAATCAATATAAATAAATAGAG